TCAAGCCCACTGACGGTTCGATATTGTATCCGAAGGTTGAAACCACAAGTAGGACTAACTATCGGAACGTGAATGCTCTGCTTTAGCCCAACTAATTCTCCGTATTTCACTTTAGAAAAAATGCTTATTTGAGCATTACTTTTGTGTACGTCCATATGCCTGACACCGTTGCATTGAGGTATACAGTCGGTGACAAAATTATTAGGGACAGTAAGATGATTTCTTAATTTTCTAGTTTAACTGAAGTTGTTGGCTCGAAAGCTTGCATCTATTTTTTGTATAAAAGAGTATGGTATTAAGATTACAAAAACAATGAGTTCTGTTAGTAAAACCATTTGTTTTTTTCGCAAAAAATTTTTTTACCTAGAATCACTAATTTCAATATTTAGTGATGTCACCCTTTGCTGAAATTACAGCTTCTACACGTTGGGGCATCCTCTGAATACAAACTTCTGCATTGTGTTTTAATTTGGGGTTATGATGCCATTCTTTAATAAGAGCTTTAATCAACTGCCGCTTCGTTGTAATAACATCTTTGTCGATCTCCTGTTTGGTTAACTCCCACATACTCTCTATGAAGTTCATGTCAGGTGAGTTTCCCGGCCAGGTCAGAACTGCAATATTTTCTTTGGACAGAAATGAAGTTACACTTCTAGCTTTGTGGCACTGTACATAAAAATGTATTTTTTTTTTATTTCTTTGAGCTGGGGAAGTTTCTGAGATTCAAATATTCGCTTATACTGGTCCTGTCTCATTGTCCCTTCCACGATGTATAAGCGTCCCATACCCTTGGCCGAGATTACAGACCACACCATGACACTAACCGGATGTTTAATCCTCTCTACAATGCAATCTGGATGGAACTGCTCCCCAGGACGTCGTCGGACGAACGCACTTTTCTCTACCAATATCTGGAATGTCGATTCGTCGAACAAGCATACCTGAAAAAATTTAAATATTCGCTGTTCACGAACTCCATTTGTTAAAAAAAGTTGTACTTACTCGACTCCGGGTTTTAACGGTCATACTTCGGCGCTGCTTGGCCCATTTTCATAGGTCGGCGACCTATCAGATTCTCTTCGGCCAGTCTTCGTCGGACTGTTCTTCTGGAAACATTAATTCCTATGGTATATATCATCATAGTCAGATGTGCCACACTCTTTTTACGATTTATGAGACAAATGTCTCTCATTTTGCGGTCAGTACGAGGAGTAGTGATCCTTTTGATGCCACATTTTCCAACACGGCCTGGTTGCAATGCCTCGTTTGAATCAATTTTTATTTTAATTCGATTTACTACAGACTTTGAAACACCTGCAATAGTTGCTATTACTCTTTGGGAAAGCGTAGAGTGCAGTAACATCGTTTTTATGGCAGACGAACTGCCAAATATAATACAGATATGAACACCAATTTTTTTGGTCAAACAAAAAAAAATTTAAGTAGAAAATACAAAAATATATGTAGTGTCCCTAATAATTTGTCCACCCACTGTAAGTGGATTTTTTTAAGGAACCACTTTGGCCTCCATAATGTCTGAAATTTGGTATATTTGGTTTTCTTATTACCTTGCCTGAAGATTAATATTTAATTGTTGTTTACTTGGATATTTCAGCCTAAGTACAGCTTCCAGAATTGCATCAGAATAAATAGTTTTCCACTTGTGGAATCTAGATTTCTCTTTATGTAATTATCTCTGCCTTTTATTAGGCATTTTTGTGTGTGTGTTATCGTGTTATCGAACATTTTCGTTCGATATCAATTACACAGCGTGGAGGAAGTGTGATGCCTTCACGATGCAAACGAAGACGTTATTGAACAGAAAGTTTTTATTAACATTCTTATTCCAATTGACCTTCTCCTCTTTTGAAATTTATATCTAAAAAGTAGTAGTAATCTAAAAATTTGTTTCAACTTTGATCCCATATGTTACTTATTATTTAGTTTCCATTCTTACGCTTAAATTTTACAATTCATTATTTGATCAAACATGTTAAAATATCTGTGTTTCAGTCACATACGGACAACAGTTGATCCTTTTAATTATCGGAACTGTTAACATATCTCTAGAGCTAATTACAAGAACTTTCATTATTTTAAATCACGTTACGAATCCAGTTATGGTTGGAGTATTTCATTAAAAGTATAAAACCATAACTAATTATTTGACAATTCTACTGTATCTCAGGTTGTGTACACAAGTTGTGTACGACGTGCGCACCAAGAATAGATTTTGTTAAAAATCAGAAGTCAGATTTATTATTTTAATCTTTTCGGGGCCTTTAAAATATCCATATACGGAATTTTTTGGAAACTATTATAAAAATTCCATGGAATCAAAATACAGTACGTTACAAATGAATGAAATAAATAAAAAATCCTGAAAAAAATTTAAACAGCTATTCTACAGGATTTTCTTTTTATTCCTAACGTCATATGTGTGTGCATCATGTCATTAATGTTGTTTTTTAAACAAAGAGACGTATTCCAGATGATAAATCATAAACATCCTTCAATTATCTATTCAACTGTGTTAATATTTTTACGCCATTCAGGTTTCAATCTGTCTCACGGAAATTAGCCTTAGATAATCACTTAAGAAAATCCAGCGCAGATTCCAATTTCGGTACTGGTTTAACCCGGAACGTGAAGGTCCTTCGGTTCGATCATCAACTCATGTCTACACGGTTCGATCTTCACTAAGTTGACGACTAGCTCCACTCTATTTTGCTTCTTTCTTCCCCAAAAAACTCTAATAATGTCAGACTTGCGGCAATGCACCCACGATATTCTCGAGGACTTCATTGAAATGTATTAAAGTTTTCTGTATTTGTGGTAAGTGAAAAATAAAGACTGTAATAACCGTCATAAAAAAACGTCACGGGTGGGGAACTTATAATAAAAAAATGCAAAGAAATAGACACAATGGCAAATAAAGAGACAGTTACAAAAAAAAATAAACTCATTGAAATAGCTTTATAAAAAAGTGACGGCATGAATTATCTCTTGAACTGTAGAAGAAGACACGTACAAACCACCTTTGTGGTAGTTCGACCTATTGGAATTTTTAAATGATTAAGATGTATCAAGGATCCTACGAGAAACTATAAACGATGACGATGAGTCGCAGAAGATATCTGAGAGTTGCTATAGGTCTTTCATGAGGTGTAATGGCTTTTCTCTGCAGGTGTCTTGTTTCAGCAATAATTGCGCCATTCATCAGATTCGCTTCTCGGTTTGTTCGGTTCACCTCTCAGTAACTCTCTCCTGTATTATAATAATTATAATTATTATAATACAGGAAAGCCTTCCCACTTTCTTCCTGGAAATATCATTGCTCTGCTTGATGAACACCTCCCCTATCTCCATTCTGAGGTGCAATAAGTCCAGTTGTTTTTTCGTTGGGTGACCAAGTAATTGGCAATCTTTTTTGTAGTCTAACCAAGAATTTACCATTTCCATATCCACCGTATGAAATATCATTCTGTGTCCATTTTTTAGAGCGAATTTTCGTTCGGTATAATGATATAATGGTCGGTATAATGATATATTTGTCGACTTCACTCATTGAAGTATTGCATTCCATCACTATTTAAGGTCTGTTCACTGCAATTCGTTGTTTTGCAGTTTAATCCCAACGTTTTACTTTGCCTTGGTCTCTTATTCCTACATAGTTTGAAGCCAATGCTACTGGCTTTCTATCCAGCCGGTTGACTAAAACAAATCCACCATTTGATATCACTTCCTTAGAAAATCCCTTCTGCTTCTTTCGGAATTCTTGTTGGTAACAGGAGGTTTCAAAATCTGTTTAGTATGATAGTGTCCGTTAGTGAAATAATTATCACAAAATAATGTGTGTCTTTGTGGCGCTAAATTTTCGGAAAGATGTAACAATACTGCGGCTCCTGTACCAATTTTTTTAGCTGCTATATTAATAATTTTAAATTCCATGGATGCGGTTTATTTTTTATATGCTGTTTTATATTTAATTGGCCCTTGAAAGGAACCATTTGTTCATCCACGCAAACATAGTTCTCTACTTATAGCTTCTTGCATCTATTTAGTACTGAATTGAAGACTAGTCTCACCTTCCACAGCTTGTTCTAATTTCAGTCTTCCAAATTGTTAATACAAGGTAGATTGAGACATGATTTGCTGAAACAAGTAAAATACTTTAAAAAAAATAAAACCCTTTATGCAATTGTGTACAATTGGAGACACCATATTTTAGATCTGTTATATTCACTCCAAGAAATATATGACGAAAATATACTTCAAATAAAAACATAAAATTGACTGGATGACCAAGAATTTTTGATATATTTATGGAATTGCGAGAGCTTTCCTGGGTAGAACGTTTAACGCAGTAACCACCATGTAAACAGCTCTTATACATTGATGCTTCTCTATGCTAGAAGTCACTTTAAACTAGGCAATACTTATCACAGAATATCTGTGGATGTATGAGATATCACATAATTGTAAAACGAAACCAATTGTGGGTAGTCCAGATACTTGAAAATGATGTGTACAATTGTAGACACCATGAGCGAAAGGCCTAAAACAGCAGCATTATCTATATTTTTAACCAAAATAGATCAGTAACACCTCAGAAGCGTTGCCTATGAGAAGGAAAGAGTGATTCTCAAGCGTGCAAGTTGTAAGATACTTTCCTAAATATTTAAACATCATTATTGATGTTTTTACGATTTATATTAAAATTACGAAGAATAGAAATTGCCGTAGAATGTAAAAGGAAAAACGCGAAATATGTATTGGAAATATGAGTTGATATTTACAGATACGACAAGATTTTTGTTAACTACAAGAGTTGATGAAAGGTGAATCGAAGCATTCAACTAATTGCATATTTTGTTTTTATTTAGTTGTAAACAGTACATTGGTTGTAATATCTTACCTGATCTGCTGTCGTTAGCTGAACATCGTTTTTATTAATAATTTTAATTTTTTGTAGCAAGAAGATAGAAAATTACGGCAAAATGACGCAGATGACACAAGAAGAAATCGTTGCCGCTGTTAAAACAGTAGCTCAGGGTTTGGAAGCCTTAAGATCGGAACATACAGGAATTTTACATAGCCTCCATGAAGCCCCCGATCCTGTAGTTAGCGAACGAGCTGGTTTGGTGCAACAGAGTGCTGATATGATCGAATTGGGTCTAGGTGAAGCACAGGTAAGTTTACAGAACACTAATTTTATTTGTTTTGACTGCATACTCCAATATTCAGTGTGTTTTCTGTAACGGGTTATCGCTATTTCAGGTTATAATGGCTTTAGCAGCACACCTACAGTTAGTAGAAGCTGAAAAACAAAAGTTGCGTACACAAGTTAGAAGATTGTGTCAAGAAAATGCTTGGTTGCGTGACGAATTAGCTTCTACCCAACAGAGACTACAGTCCAGCGAACAGATGGTTGCTCAGTTAGAAGAAGATAAACGACATCTAGAGTTTATGAGTTCCGTTAGTAAATACGACCAAGATGTTAATGAAGATAATGCTTCAGAACAATCAAAGAGTGAGAAACCTGATCCAGTAGTTGATCTATTCCCAGATGACGATGCTGATGACAGACATAGTAAGTTTATTGATACTAGTAACTATACAATAATTGTGCACTTGCTACACCTACTACACCTTTTCAGGCGTAGGTAGATCATTTAAAAGTTAAAGAAATGCGTACAAGAATACCTTTTTTAAATAATCTCAGCAATCATCATAACTGATCCATTTTTCAGATATGTCTCCTACGCCTCCAAACCAGCTACAGCTTTCGCAACAAGTAAACGCTGGATATGAAATTCCAGCACGTCTTAGAACCCTTCACAATTTAGTCATACAGTACGCTTCCCAAGGTCGTTATGAGGTAGCAGTACCTCTGTGCAAGCAAGCGTTAGAAGATTTAGAAAAAACCAGTGGTCATGACCACCCAGATGTAGCTACAATGTTGAATATTCTTGCTCTTGTTTACAGGTAAGATTTTTTATGCAAATCGCCAGGAAATTTTGACATTCCTGTCAAAATTTCTTGAAGAAAAAGTCAGGACTTCCTTACTGTAAGGAAATGTCATTTCCTTACTGTAAGGAAATGATATTTCCGTACAGTTGTTAGTGTTCTACATAAATGATAGAAAACACATTGCTTATAAGGAATTAATTTATATTTTGAAAACATCAAGTCATTGCTGAATACATTTTTAAGATCAATTTGTTAAATTTACAGTAATTTGACAGTTAGTACAATTATTGAACATTGGAGGAACACTCTTAGAACTATGAGAAACATTTTGGACAACATGCAGGGTGGAAGTGTCATTTTGTTGAATATTTTGTACTGTGAAAATTTTATTTGCCACCTCAACCTTATTGTTAAGCGATTCTTCGATATATCCTTCAGCAACGTTTGATGACTTCCATCCGCCATGCCTCTTTAAACTAGTTATGTCGGCACCAGAGTCAACCAATATTGTTGCAGAAGACCGACGAAAGCAGTGACCAGTATATTCTGTCGGATTTACCAAGTTCAAATAAGTAGAAATTATTTTGGGCATTTTTCTAAATTGATGAATTTCTACCACTTGTCTACAACCCTTTCCGCTTTGATATTTAAAGAAAAATCGGTCACTGTTTATATTTTCTGGTCTTAACGAAACATACTTTCGATAAACATTCAAGTAGATCTGATTAATTACAAATGATCTTGGTTTGTTGGTTTTCGAATCAGGTATGCTGATTAAAAGCTTAGATTCTAAGTCTTCTATATCGTGTACAGTCATTCGGACTAACTCATCCATTCTACAGGCCCCAGAAATACCAAATATTACAGCCACCTAAAAAATAAATAAAGCTATAATCTAAATAGAAATTAAAACCTTGTAAATTACCTTAATCATTAAATTTTCTTTATCTGGAGCTTCCTGAATAAATTTTTCAATTTCTTCCTTCGTTAAAATCTTAGATTTCTTTGCCCTATAACCTTGAGCTTGCCGTTTCAATAAAGAACGAAGTTTTGAGTATGTAGATATATCTACATTGTGTTCAAGTGCAAGGGTTGACTTCAACATTGAATAATTGGCCCATAATGTTGAAGATTTCATCTTTAAACAAAGGTCTAGGAAGTATGCCATTACAACATTTTCTGAGAAAGAACTCGTATTTTTACTCATGCGATAATCCATAAAACGTCTGTATGCATTTTCGTACTCTTCTCTTGATTTCTTTGGCAATAATTCTAATGAATCAGTATTCACTTCCTCAACCAGCTCTGGAGGAGTCCCAGGAATGGAAATTTCATCATCACTTATCATTTTACTTTCGAGAACACCAGCAATTAAATTTATAAGCGTCAAGTTTGACAATTCAACCTCAATACGTTTCCATAGTAACCCAAGTAATTTTATTAGGAATTTCAAAGCACCATTTATTTGGGAATAAAATTATCGCGTTTTTTTTTAAATCAATCAATATCTGTCGAATTTTAAACGATTTGCGGAAAAATAGTATGTTTACCTCGTAGGAAAAGCCACATTCCTGGACTCTGTGTTGCTAAGTCTCGGCTTGTGCCTCGACTTAGCAATCTTCACAGTCGTCCAGGAATGTTAAGCTTTTCCTACCCGGTAAACAATGTACTATTCTTTATTAACTTTGTTTTATGTAGAGTTTCATTTTCTTTTAAATTAACTAAATAAAAAAGGATTTCCTGAAACTTCTGTGAAAATTCTAAAGCAAATTTTCACTGAGTAATGTAAAAATCTGCTTTAAGACCATATCTCATTACTGTTGGATAAGGAAATATACAGTGCTAGTCAATAATCCGTTCCCTCCTCGTATCTTTTAAACGGTTATACTTTTAATAGTGAAATTTGGAGGGAGGTAATAATCAGACGTAGGCTTCTCAACTAGTCATAACAAGTGACGTAATAGTGACAGATGACGTTACAGCGTCACTGTGATAGATAATTATAAATGGGGTCTTATGGCAAGTGATACCTTGTTTGAAAGGTATTGAAAAAACCTATTCATAATAATTTTGTTTGAGTTGAAGGTCATTTTGATAATTAAATTAAATAACGATTTAATGTTCGAGTTTTTTAACTATATGGTATACAGTCAACTTGTGGGGATTATCCCTTTTTAATTCCAAAAATATTATTTCAGAGATCAAAATAAATACAAAGAAGCAGCGAATCTGCTAAATGACGCTCTAGCGATAAGAGAAAAAACTCTCGGAGAAAATCACCCAGCGGTGGCCGCTACGTTGAATAACTTAGCTGTATTATACGGAAAACGTGGGAAATATAAAGAAGCCGAACCACTATGTAAGAGAGCTTTGGATATAAGAGAAAAAGTGTTAGGAAAAGAACATCCCGACGTAGCTAAGCAATTAAATAATTTGGCTCTCCTTTGCCAAAATCAGGTAAGGTTGAATTTGTTTGTATAAGCTTCGATTAAAACTTATATTGATCTATATTGAATAATTTTATATAGTTTTAACAAATACTTACACAATGTTAACAAATGAATGGTACAGGGGAAAAATTAGGAATGTCACTTTTGTTTAATTTTTCAGGAGAGAATTTTCAAAGTTATAAGACTAATATTAATGATATATGTTGTTATATATGGTAATTTTTTTTATATTGTTCGTTTGGTATGTTTACACTGTGGTTTAAAAATTTTCATATAATTTGGATAGCGGTAGAACACCACATTGTAAGAAATACACTTTCGCTGATTAACAAGGGAAAATGTCTTGTTTTAGTCCATAGTGAATTTAATTTACGAAAAGCAACAAAATTAAAAGGATAATACAATTTTGCTTAGTCCGCATTAATAATAATATAATAATTGCGTATAATCCAACTTGTCCTCATTCAGCATGTGGTAGTGCTTTGAAATTCTCTCCCGCATTCTTTGTGCAAAATCTGGATAGGTGCACAACGTCATCAAACTTTGTCTTCGAAATTTTGTATCAAACCTACAAACAGAATACTTAGTTCTAAATACTACTACATTAATTTATTACTATTTGATCCTGATCCACTTCTATTACATTAAGAGAAGAAGGTTTCACTCTGACTTCACGAAAAATCTCCATCAATTCATTTGGCTGCTCTACTTTAGCTTTTTGATTAATTATGCCCATATTCCTGTCTGTTTCAAGATAGGAATGGCCTCTTATAGAAAAACATATTTTAATTTCACCAAATCTTTTCGTTGTGCCTTAGGTTGTGGAGAAATCTTAAAACAGTATCATTTTTATTTTGTCCTTCGCATGAATAACAGAACATGGAAACACGTCGGGCATTTATGTCAAGATGATTGTATACGAAATCGTGCAACATTGAGCACACATCATCACTGCCTTTTTTTCCTACTGTTTCAGGATAAGTATAAAATGTACTGGCTCCGGTTGATAAAGTGTGGATATTAAAACTATACAAGAAAGTTGGCGCCTGTAGTAGACGTCATTTGTAGAAATGTTAGGTGTTGCTAGCTTTTTCTGGAAATCAAAACAAATTGCTTCTTCATTGCTGCTTTTCCTGTTTCTTTTTGTAGCTTTTCGTTTCCTCTTATAAAATATATCTGCTTTCAATTTGTGGAGTTTTCATTTTCTAAGCGCCTTATTACATTCTCCAGCCTAAGAGCACCATCATTTTCTCCTGAAATAATGTTACCCTTTTCAACCTCTAGGTTCTTTATTTTCACTTGGAACTCTGTATGTCTCACATGTACTGCATGTGTCTTTCCTGGGATACCCAAAAATTAAATTAAATTCGCTTGAGAAAATTGTTCTGTAAGTTTCGTAAGACACTTTTAAATTTGGATATTTCTCAATATACATTTTGTGCATTTTATTAATAGTTAGCTCCTCTTCTAAGTATATTTTGGAAGATTCTGCCAAGTTTTAATGGTCTTTTTTGCCTTTAAATAAACTAATGTGGTTCGCTACTGCTTCTCTTTGTTCTTTTTTTATAGAATTCTTTCCTACATTTCATAGGTAATTAGACCACATAAATATGAGTTTTGTTTATCAACAGAACACATTAAATTCAAATGGTTCAAAATACTGTTCCTACAGCCTTCAGAAACATTTTGAAAACATTGCGATCTTTTGCAATGACAGTCATGCCCTGAAACATGGCTTTGTAATCTAAGTTTTTTACTTACATCAGTCATGCGGCAAAATAATTTTTCTTCTTACTTAACTTTACATTTTCTGAACTACTTACACCCATATCACTTGGCATAGTAAAATGATCACTAACTTGAAGAAACTAACCTCAAATATTACACCTCAAAGCAACACATGAAAAAAATGAGTACCAATAAAAGAATCTTAACTTGTTCTGCGTGATTCACAACTGACATTTCCCCCTCTTAACCGGTAACGTCCTGATATTCCCCTTTCTTCTCCTGTATAGATATTTTATTATTCGTGTTTTCTGATGACACAACCCAATTTTAACCAATATTATTTACGTACACTGACGTACAGAATATAATCTATCTAATGAATTATTGACTATCAAAAGGCCTTCGACAAAGTAAAACATGATAAGCTGATGGATTGCCTTCACAAAAAGGGACTAGACGAGAACGATTTTAAAATTATCCAAACGCTGTATTTTAACCAAATTGCAGCAGTTAGAACAGAAGCCGGTGACACAGAAATATTCAATATCAAGCGAGGTGTACGACAGGGGTGTGTATTGTCACCACTACTTTTCAATATATATTCGGAAGAAATCTTTGCACGAGCACTAGAGCAATCAAGAGAAGGTGTTAAAATTAACGGCAGAGTTCTAAATAATGTACGATACGCCGACGACACGGTCCTAATTGCAGAGAGCGCACAGGATCTCCAGACACTCTTAGATCGCGTCAGATCGATCGGAGAACAATACGGCCTCAGCATGAACGTCAAGAAAACAAAAACAATGATTGTCTCCAAAACATCCATCCATCCACCCATGGCTTTAAACGTGAATGGTAACATTATCGAAAATGTCGAGAAATTTCGATATCTAGGGTGCTGGATAACGAAAGATATAGATCCAGACATAGAAATAAAATCGCGAATTGAACAAGCAAGAAATGTCTTTTTAAAAATGAAACAAATGTTTACGTCCCAAACACTCAATCTCAAAATCCGATACCGAATGCTGAAATGTTACGTTTACAGCACCTTACTATATGGAATGGAGGCCTGGACCTTCAAAATCAACTCACTCAGGCGTTTGGAAAGTTTTGAAATGTGGTTATTTCGAAGGATGCTGAAAGTCCCCTGGACAGCGCATATGAGCAACGAGCAGGTCCTACACAAGATGGGTACCGACAGAGAACTCTTAAAAATAATGAAAACACGGAAAACCTCATATTTGGGACACATATACAGAAATGAGAAATACCAGCTAATGCAGCTTCTTATAGAGGGGAAGGTAGAAGGAAAACGTGGTCCTGGTAGACGGCAGGCGTCCTGGTTGAAGAACATTCGTGAGTGGACTGGTTTGGATTCTCAATCTTTAATAAGAAAAGCAAGGGACAGAAATGATTTTGCTGAGGTTATCGCCAACCTTCATTGAAGACGGCACCCAAAGAAGAAGAAGAATGAATTATTAAAACAAAAAATGAAAGTTTCTGACATTCCTCCTTTTTCTCCTGTACCCTTCGAATGTATTAAAGTTGAATATGATTTGTGTATCCAAGTTATATTCCGTAATTATTAACTTTGTGGGTAAATAATCGATTCATCAGTGAAACAGTTTATTTTTAAACTTTTCACATATGTATTTAAATAAAATACATTTTGGATTCATTTCATTATTTTCTTTTCCATCAAAGACTATTATCTTGCAGAGAGGCGTTTGAGATTAAATTTCAATGCAGGGCCCGTGCTATCCGCTTATACGTATTTTCACCTCATTAGGTCTCCTCAGAGCGACTTATGCAGAAGATCTAAGGGGATGGTAATGGTCATTTTTCTGTTTAGTTCGTTCTGTCATGCTGATAGTTTTCCTTCTTATAACTGACATGGGGAGCCATGGCTGACAATGAGTAAAGGTGTTCAAATCATGTCGGCTTCAGGCAACCGGTTGATAGACAGACTGCTAGTGCTGTTGTTCGTAACACACTTAGGTTATCTTTTTATCTGGATGTTAGTCTACGCTAAGGTATTTTAGCTTTCCTGTTGTTGAAATGGAAAAGAATATTTTGTGCATTTGGGTGCAGCTGATTCTATCTGTAGTATGTTGACGACGATCCAAGCACATCCGTAAGATATTCTTTTATGTCCAGAAGACTACTAAATTGATATGCGGTTGCACGATCATCACCCTAAATAGTGATAATAAGCACAAATAAGTGTTTTTAACGCACTATGGATCCGTTGGTCAGTAGTGTGTATGTTGAACAGTACTGGCGAGACTACTCCTCCTTGTAGTACTCCGTTTATAGGCACGGAATCTACCTATTTTCTCCTGGAGCATCACATGGAAACGTCGGGAATTGATCGGATGGCTTAACTATTTTGTAGCTTTTTGTTATTTTGTGCCGTTTGTTCAGGAGTATTCGGTGGGTAACAGTATCGCGTGCGGCCGTTAGGTCAGTGAATATGACTCTTTTCTTTAATCTCTTTTGAAATCCTTCCTCCATGTACTGGGTAAGAGCAAGTATTTGGCTAGTACATGACCTTATAAATTTTGATTGTATAGTGAGTGTCCTATATGATGCGTAAAACATCCATCTTGTTACTGAAGACTATAACAAACGGCATAAAATTTTAATTAATCTAAATTTCATTTTTTGTAATAATTTTACGTGATCATTTTTGAGGGAACCATATTTTCAGGGCAAATACGAAGAAGTCGAAAAATACTATCAACGTGCATTAGAAATCTATGAAAAGAGGTTAGGAGCAGATGACCCGAACGTCAGCAAAACCATGAACAACTTGGCTTCTTGTTATTTGAAACAAGGCAAATACAAGGAAGCCGAAGTTCTCTACAAGCAGATCCTCAACAGGGCACACGAGAGAGAATTTGGAACTATTGACGGTGAGAAGAAATAATGCGTTTCGCTACCGAAACTACTCATCACATTTTTTTAACTAAAAGTTGGTAGCTATTTTTGATGGACCTTGTTTATAGTTAATAAGAAGCGAGAATTTTAACGAGTTTTAACTGGTATACAGTTTTGAAAGAACTGTATTTAGATAAAATTTATTTTGAAACGATTATATTTAAATCTGTGAAATAGTTTTTATTCTTAAGAAATGAGGTGTAGATTGTTAAATATTTCTATCCGTGGATGGCTTCCTGAATTACATGTTTCTATCTGATATATGAAGCAATATTTTCACAGAAATGTCGTATCCAAGCGTACCTCGACAGGCTTTTTGGGGTCTTTCTTTTCCACCCTTTGCAAGAACTTGACATTCTCCTTTCTTTTGTAGAAATTGTACCAATTTTTATAATTTTATTTTTGAGTATTTCTGGATGTGAAGTTCAATCGGGCCAAAACACACTTTTAAATTATTCGTTCCATGATTATTACTTTTTGAATTTCTACCGTACGAAACCTTTTTATTCGATTCTATATATTTTTTCATGTTCAAATATATACTTTTTTACAACAACAACAAATTTCCTGAATTGCTTCGAGAAAAATTTGTTTAGGTGTATCTCCTCGAAATAAATACTTTTCGTCTCTTGGTAATTTTTCGAAAAATGCTTTCTATTCGAGTTATTTGCTATTTTTTGTTAAAAAATGCATTCATTAGTGATTTTTGGGATTTTTTTTAAACTACTAAATGAATTGCAATTCTACAAAAAGCTTTATAATCTTTAAACCTTCACGTACTAGTAAGAATATTTTTACAAGGATAAGTGGTTTCTATCTTGCCTAAAACATCGAAACTCGAAAAGGAAGCATTTTTTTAAACTATCAAAATAGAAAAAGTATTTATTTCCATGAGATCCGCCTAAAAAAATTTTACTATAAGCAATTCGATAATTTATTATTTTTTTTAGTTATTTGTTAATAACAATTTCCGGTCCACTTGTAAAAATTAAAAGAAAAATACATTTTAACTTGAAAAAAATATAAAATCGAATAAAAAACGTTTGGTTTGGTAGAAATGCAAAAAAAAATCGGTTTATGCTCTGCTTATAGAGGTAAATCGCTCGAATATCATATCTAACAATAGCTAGATTCTCACATTTGACAAACATTCCCGACCACCTGTCAGTTATAAAGTTCCACTAAAATGACAAAAAGATTTTTGTTCGAAATTAACAATTGGAAATTCAAGCACCTTGTCATATTTGAGATCCAATAAAATGATCTGGTCTATTTCATCTAAAAAAATCAGGATAGGGTCCTGTAATGTTTTAAGTGTGATGAGTATGGTAGGACAAGTGTAGACTTAATAAATGCGCTTAAAAGAAGGGAAGGAAGTTGTAAGAACGAGTGATATAATGTCAGTGAAATTTGTACTTGATAAAGAAGTATTGAATGTTCTCTATGTGTGTGTATATTGATAGACGGATTCGTGAAGAAACCTAAATATCCTATAATCAGTTTGGCTGTATGCAAGGCAGATCATCAACACATGCAATTTTCATTGAAAGGCAGTTAATAATTCCATAAAACAGCCATAAGACCAGCTAATGATGTACGGAATTGAATGTTGAGCAGTTAAAAAGAAAGAGGAAGCACGAATGCATGTAGTGGAAGTGAGAATGATTAAATGGATGAGTGGAGTGACAAAAAGTAATAAAATTAAGAATAAGTATATTAGGGGAAGTCCAGGGTGACACTAACTGTTTCCAAAATAAGAGAGCATGTGTTAAGGTGGTTGGGTCATGTGCAAAGTCGAGACTTTAATCAACCAATACGAAAAATTCGTGATCTGCGTGTTCCTAGGTGAAGTAGGAGTGGAAAACCAAAGAAGACCTGGGGGAGACGCTTAAACAGGACATTAGATTCTTAGGCGGTCAAGGGGAGTGATATTGGTATCATCCAAGATAGAAACTTATGAAGAAATGTAATGAGGAAAGCCGACCTTAGTTCCAATTATGTATGTTTTACATTATTTCAGCCATAAACAAATTACATTCTTATTTCTTACCTTTTTTCGTCAAACATTTAGGGTTATCTATGTCGCAAAAATGTTATATTAAAAAAAATAAATTTTATCTAGTTTTAAAATAAAAATTACTATGGCATGGCTCTCTGCTTAATGTAATATATTATAGATTGCAGATCATTGTTCCGATAAACAGTTTTAAAGTAGCATTAGTGGGCACTTTGTGTATATTAAAAATACTTGCACTCAGCACCTTATATTTAAAGGATAGTGTGTTCAGTGAGAATTGAGTATTTTTGGCTGCCTACATTTTAATTATCGTAGGTTTCACGCATTTAAAAGTAATCCACATTAAAATTAAACAATCAATATAACTAAGGAATAGTTTAGTGAAACTGATATTTTAATTTATATTTAATATCTTCTTTAATATCGTCTTACAACGTTTGTCTTATTTATACTCGTCTTTCTGCCTCTTTAGCCTTCTCTATTTTAACTTCTTACTTATAATCATGTATTAACGTTTATGCCAAATGAAAGATGGCCCCCTTTTTCCTGAATCATTTGTATTAGTTAGTCTAGATCGGTTATTTCTTCGGAAAAAACTTCGTGTCGTTGTAAAGGTTCCTCCAATGTCTATGAATTTTCTCCTTCAAAAATCTGCTGGAAAAGTTCTTGCATCAGTTTTTTTTTTGATAATGCCAAGGAGTTATTAATTTTCTAGATAAATGTAGAACAATGATTAGAAATTACTATTCGGCATTACTGAATACTCGACGAAAAATAGTTATGGTCAGGAGAAGCGAAAAGAAAAGAGATCCTATCATATTATGTTATATAGATTCACAGAAATTCAAAATACAACTTTGAGACATGATTAAATATCATTAAGCAAATAGCAGTAAACATTGGATACAACGAACAAACAATTAATGAAATGTTAAATTTAAAACTACACAAGAAAGCCCTGAAATTAGTATTTCCACCACCAGAGAAAAAACCCAGTACCTTTTGCTCGATTACATATACAGGCAAAATATCAACAAAAATAGCAAAACACATAAAAAAGAAAGGAATAACTCCAGCTCTCAGAACAAATAACAACTTGGCTAATATATTAAAAACAACAAGAGCCAAAATAATAAACACTTACACAGTGGTGTGTACAAACTTAAATGTGGCGACTGTCCAAAAACTTACATCGGTCAAACGGGTAGAAACTTTAATAAACGAATAGCAGAACATAAAAGGGCTTTCAATAATAAAAAAACAGATTCTACATACTCACTTCACCTTCTAGATCACAATCATTCTTTTAATGACGAATTTAAAATGCCTCACATTCAAAATAAAGGCCTTAAGCTATCCTTGTTAGAATCTATGGAAATCAACAAATGAAAAAACACAGATATAATTCTGAATGGCCAACTTGAGACAAACAGTTCTCCCCTCCTCAACCTATTTCATTAGAGACTATAAAGTGTAAACGCATGCCAAAAATAGATCACTTGAGAAAGGCAATCAGCCGAAACAGCTGTAGTGGTAAGAGGTTAAAATAAATGTTGTGGAAGTTTGAAAACAATGTTTTCAGTGTTTTATTGTTACATAAACATCACGTTACGGTCGAATCCATCAATTAATTCGTTGCTCTATTGTTACATTTAACACTTTTCCATCAAAACAGTCTGCATTTTACCGAGAAGGCTCCACGCTAAATAATTATCGTCGCTGAATTTTGGCACATTGTACTACTGTTATAGTAGCGCAGCGTTAGTCTCATTATTTTTTTATTACACACCTCGTATTTCTGATGTAACGGATCACAATCTAATAAAAGTAGGGAGTATTTACATTAGATGTGGTTTATTTTTTATGTACAGTATTTATATTTTAGAAATATTTTTACAACGGAACATGAAAGGCACATATATATATATATATATATATATATATATATATATATATATATATATATATATATATATATATATACTTAGATACGAAACAGGTCCATCAAAAACTATATATTTTTTTACTTAAGTGAAAGTATTTCTGGTAGCTTTCTTATTAAGGCTGTTATTGTGTAGCATAGTGTACCTATTGCATGCAGAATGGGACAGGGAGCAATATATGAACATAGTTCCTTTTTTACTGGTGATAAGTTTTATATCGAAAGGTTAAAGAAGAATCGTTTTGTTTTTATGTGTTTTATACATAATGGTCACTAGATTAAATATTTTTAACTATCTTTGTCTTTTTTTATTTTTCTGTCAACCTAATATAGTAAAACTTCGATATAACGTTTTATTTTTTTTTTTTGTTTTTTACAATTATAACGCTTTTTTATTTCAACTTTAAAACACTTCAATACTGCTATTATTTTTGCCCTGTTACAATCACTTGTATATAAAGCTGGATTTATAGTTTGACGGACTGTAGACGTAGACGCACTGGAAAAAGATCAACATAGACTTTTGTGTACTCTTATTTATAAATAAACGCATGATACTATGAATAACAAGATAGGATCTTCCCATAGCTCAAAATCGGTCGGGTTCGCGCATGCCGTCATTGGAGACTAGAATTTGAATTCTTGTTAAAGTTAAATGAGATTTGTATGCATTCTGTGATGAAATTACTAGACGAAAATAAGTTAAGAGGTTTAATAATTACAATAATCGTACACATAAGGATATCTCCAAACTATTTATTAAAGATTATTTATTGATATATACAAAAACTGACATTTCAAACGTGCAAGTCTCCAATGACGTCACAAAAACATGCGCAATATCTTATCTTATAGTCATAGTATCATGAATGAACGTAAACGCATGACGGGACGTAAACGAAACGCGCTGTAAAGGAAGAGTTGGTCAACTTCCATCTTTTACAGTGCGTTACTTGCGTCTGGCCAATCAAAAGGAAGGAATTTTGTGCTGTCAACCAAAGTGAACTGTCTGGCCC